GAACCAGAACCAGAACAGAACAAGGAGATAAACATGGACATCAATACATTAACATCCCAACAGATCCATACCAACAGCAGCAGATCCATACCAGCAGCAATACATGAAATAGAACCAGAACCAGAACCAGAACCAGAACCAGAACAGAACAAGGAGATAAACATGGACAGCAATACATTAACATCCCAACAGATCCATACCACCAGCAGCAGATCCATACCAGCAGCAATACATTAACATCCCAACAGAACCAGAACAAATGAACACCATACCAGAAGTATACCAGCAGAACCAGATTCGTGTTCAATACAGAACCAGAACCAGCATACCAAAACCAGAACCAACATGGACACCAATACAAGTTAAATGTAAATCAACCAACATCAACCAAGTTAAATGAACATGAACCACAACCAGCTCACCTAGGTTTAACATCTAAATTAAAATCAACTGTAAATGAACATCAACCAATACAAGTTTAGCATCTAAATTAAAACATTAATTGGCACATTGGTCCATGTAATTTAACACATTGGTCCATATAATTTAACATTTGAACACACATTCATCCACATCACTTTCCAGCAGCAGTTTGCTTCACAATGTCATAGGCTATGACTTCACTTTCCAGCTCAATTTCAGCATCAGTTTGCTTCTGTTTCTGCTTGTCCATAGCCTAAAAAAAAAGACATAATTTTTAGCAAGTAAATACATGATATCACAAAATTTTCATCAACTAAAAACCCAGAATTTTCAGCAACTATAAATTAAAAATACATCAAGGACGAACCTGACTACACATTGGAGTAGCTGATTCTTGAGAATATCGAAACCCAATGTCATATCCACATGAACCTTGTAGTAGTGACTGGAATGTTGGTTGAGCAGAATGTCGTCGAGGCATTGAAGTTGGCAAATAATTTGGCATCACATACATCTCCCGTAAATTGTTCGCCTACAACAATGTCATATATTAGGCTTCACAATTATGGTTTCAGTCATGGTTTGAGTCACATATTATATCCACACAAAAAATACAATGTTAAAGTAAGACTTACATGATATATGGGATACATCAATGGCGGAAGAATATAATTACCACCCATGGGCAAAGATGGAGGAAGAGGATGAAGGGGAGAAAGAGGTTGAAGAGGAGGAACATGTTGACGAACATATATATCTCCTCCAACAGATAATAGAGAAGGTGCAACTGTTGAACTTGCAATAGATTGTGACAAAGCCAAGTTGTTAGCACGAGATTTTTTTTTTGAGTTCGCTACCAACGCCGCTTCAAATCCACCTTTGACCCTCCTTTTTCCCTTACTAGTTGCCACATTTTTCTTCAATCCTTTTGGTTGCACAACATGATTTACATCTTTGCAATCCACTTCAAAGCTTTGGGTGTCATCATCATTACCTACTTCATTTCCAACACCAAAATGAGCACTTAACTTGCCTTCAACATTTGAACCTAATGTAGCAAGGTGTGCAATACAAAAATTATAAGTTTCTTCAGTTTCAACAGCTCTACTTGCTAGTGCTCTAAATGCAGTCATCAATGTCTTATACCGCGAGGCTTGTTGGAATTTCATATCTACTTCAATATCATTCCCCTTAATGTCCTTCACAGTTTCGGCACTTGCTTGTTTGGTCCACCTCTTTAGAATGTATTGTGGAGAAACCTTTTTCATCTTCAATATGTCTCTAATAACCTTTAATGAGTGACAACACAAGATTCATTCCCTTTCAAACTTTGTACAATTACAACACAAAGAGCCATCTTTCTCCATCTTCACTTTCCTTGCATGTTTGTTACCAATATCAATAACTGTGTAAATGGTACTAGCCTCGCCATATTCAATTGCTTCTATGTCCGATTTAATGGATTGAAAGTACTCATTTTGAAATTCCTCAAAGATCTTTTTTTGTGTAGACATTACCCATTTGAATTAACATTCTTATTGTTGTTTTCACCTTTGACAACCTTTGGCACAAAGCATATCCTGCTTCTAACTCCTTGTATCGCTTCTCGTAAAGTACCCTTTTGAAATGCATGGAGAATTCATTTAAGTTAAAATCAGAACGAATGTAATCCTTCAAAAAAAGCATTAAAAGATTTACTAAATTGTGTGGTACTCATTCCCGCAACCCATGTTAATCTAACGTAAGGCTAGCCCTATTTTTCTTTTACCGCAAAAGTCAATTTCAACCAATGGTTTTCATGCGCATCATATTTATCAAGCATTTTCGCCCACTCTAACTTTCATTGATTTGCATCTTCATTGTGAAAGAAGAATTTATTTAGTACACCCTCCACCCCCTTATCTTGGAACAAACAGTTAACATGTTTTAATGCATTTTGCATCAAATGCCAAGTACACAATCGGTGACTTGTGTCAGGCATAATAATGGGTATGGCTTTAGCCATTGCAGCATCTTGATCGGTGAACAAAGTTTTTGGTGCCTTTCTTGACATAGCCTCTAGAAAATTTTCAAACAACCATACAAATGATTCGGCGGTCTCATCATACAACAATGCTGCACCAAATATAACTATTTCCCTATGATGGTTGAATCTCACAAAAGATGCAAAGGGTCTATGTTCTTTGTTTAACTTGTAAGTCATATCAAATGTGACAACATCACCAAATTGGGCATAATCCATGATCATTTGTGCATCAGCCCAAAACATATTGGTTATTTGCTCCTTATTATCTAATTGAAAAGCATAAAAGAATGAAGGATTCTGCAAAGATTTTTCTATAAAGTATTGCAACACATTGCCTATTTCCCCATATGCTAAACTTCGTTGTCTTTTGGTTCTCAAATAATTTTTAGAATCTAATTTCGTAAACCCAAGACATTGCCTTCCACCAGCTTCCCTACCCATGAGTTCAAAAGGCTGGCCTAAACGAAGACCAGATTGTGCCGCCAAATCTAACTGAATTGCTTGGGTAGTCGATATCTTTCTTTGTGACGGCAACATGTGGGCACACTCGGGTGATACAAGATCATGGTTGTGTTTTCTTTGAAATCAGTCACAACAAATTTTCCAGTACCCTCATCTAATTTAATATGAAGTCGAGCCTCACAACCAATCCTAGTTTCAGCTCTAGGGTTTTTTGACAATGGGTCTCGCTTGTCAACCTTTCGAAATCCCTCCTTGTTGCAAACCAAAAGTCTACAAATAAGTTGATTAGTGAACTTGTCATTCCTACAATAATCCCTTCTTATGCTAAACCCCATTCTTCCTCCATATGTATTATAAAAATCATACACACATTGTTCAGAATCAAATGTCATTCCCTGTTTTGACTTCCAATCACAATCATTCTCAGGTTCCATATCGATATCAAAATGCAACTAAAAACCCATATAAATAAAATCTTAGCTACATAAATTACATCTTTATTTTGCACACAAAAAAACATAATTTCAGTTTGAAAAAAAAAAACCAGACATAAAAACATAGAGACTAAGTTCAGTTTTAAAAAATTCCAAACACACATTTTTCGGAAGAGGACTTGTTTCAAGCTCAATCAAACATAATCAATAATCCATTACATGGATAGAGACATATAATGTGAATAGCATTCATGGATTACATATTTCCATGTTATTTCACTTTTTATGAAGTTTATGTAATTGTTGGTATGCCAAATTACTCTCATCATAAGCTCTTAATTCTACTTCTACATGTATATCTTGGAACTCTGTCATATATATTAAAATCTATTTTTCCACCAGTGTTTAGAATCTGTCACTATATAGTCTAAATAGGCTCTAATGTTGGAAATGAGACCTAACTTTCATTGTGCAAATCCAGTATCTACAGAAACTACTACTCAATAAAGCAGCAAATCTATCTCTCTTCTACTTAAGATGGCCAAGTTTCTACTTAAGATGTAATATCTTTCATCAGTGAAGGCCCATTTATCTACTTAAGATGTAATTTCTTCTACTTGTCTGTCTTCTTGGTGAAGGACAGATTTGATCATTTATTGTATCCAGATATGATCTAATTTGTGATTAACAAAACATGAGGGTTCTGATATGATCTTGGAGAACATTCAATTCTACAGAGGGTTCAGTATATCCACAATTGCTTCGCATTCACTGTGTTTGAAACTGTTAGCTCTTCTTGAGCAATGGAATTTTGCTCAAAGAAAATTGAAAACAGAGGACAAAAGCTGATTTTTTCTTTCAAATGTATGTTGTTTTCAAACAAAATTCATTAAATTCAAACAATTTTAAACTTGTTTCCTAAACCCAATTTGTTTCATGAAATTATGTTTCCAAAAGAAACGATTTTAAAGTTGAAATCATATTTTCATAACAAAAATAGAAAAATGAGTACCGACTTTAAAAATATATCTGAAATTGTTTTTTAGATGCACGAAGTAAAACTTAAAATCGTATTTTAAAAATACAATTTTATAAAACAATCTGAGTTTGAAAAAATAAATTTATATTTATTTTGATTAAAAATTTTGTTTGAAAATCACTTGTAATTTCATAAAGAAAAACTCAGACAAGCGAAGAAAAAATTACATACTTTGATGGGTTCGATTTGAGGAGAAGGGGGTCGCTGTCGGGGTCGCCACAGATAGAATCTGTATCCACAGTGGATCGCCGCCGGTGAGGATGGGTTCTCCGGAGGAGAAGGGGTGAGTGCTGAGTGCTATGTGAGAGTGCGCATAACCTCTGTGTCTGTATAACCTCTAAGCTGTGTTTTTGTTTGGGCGGGAGATTGACCAAAATTTTAATTTTTTAATTTTTTATTTTTTAATCTCAACCGTTGGATGTCCAACGACTCATCTGAGCCGTTGCAAGCAGGATGTAGAGGAGGGGCCTTAAGGAGCGGATCCGAACTCCTCAACAACACGGTTCAATCAAGCTAATCCCCTTCACAAAAATCGTTAAACCGCCGGTCAGACCGGAAATCCCGTAAAATCGGCTCCTATTTTTTTTATCATAACATAACCGTCCGGTTTAAATAATTCACAATTTTTTCATCAAATTAGGGTTCTCTGCTCCCCTTTCATGAATATCGTTAATTCGATTTCAGACATGGCAATCTCGTACGATACGAAGACTCCATTGGCATTGTTGTGCTTTCAGCGAAGACTGATGAAGACTGAAGACTGAAGGGCTTCACCTTTCCCGGCAATTTCTACATCTGGCTTTTTTTTTTCTTCTAGGGCTTGGTTCAAAATTTCTCTCGAATTTTCCCGGGAAAATGGACGGAGATTTGGAAATCTCTCTGGACAAGCTTCCAATCAAGCGCTTAGAATCCATTGAAGAAAACGGACTCGAACGATTCTCTTCGTAAGCTTTGATTCAATGTATATATGTGTATATATGTATGTCTGTAGATATGTAATTATATGTGTACATTTTGCAGTGATGTAGGTTATGACGAGAAGCGATTGAACCTAATTCGACGAATAGACTTCGCGTGGGCAGTGGAGAGAGAAGACCCCAACAAGAAGCAGAAGAAGACTTCGTCTTCGTCTTCGTCTTCGTCTTCGTCTTCTTCGAAAGAGGCCGCAACAACGACATGGCCATGGCAGAGCATGGTCGAGAATTTGCAGTTGGCTCATCAAGAGCTGTCTGTCATCATCGATCTCATCAATACCGTGAGTCACTCTCATCCTGACTGATTTTTATACATATGCACATATATATTATGAATGTGTATGTTTCTGCACACAAACCCCACATTGTATTTGTAAGTTAATTATATGTAATTGATAGGGTTTTGGTATTGAACATTGCCCGAAAGGGATCATTTCAGGTTAAATGTGTCGGACATTGTTGTGAAATCAGGATTCGTATTGTGAATTAAAATGGCCTCATACTGAATCTCAAATCAAATTGAATCGTGAATCATAAAAATTCGGTCACTTTTTCTAAATTACTTAGAAACATATATATATATATATATATATACACACATTTAGATGTTAAATATATCTTATGAATATGAAATATTTAGACTTAAATCAATGAAAATCATATTTTGAATGATAATCGTGTAGTTTAATAGGTAAGAAGTTAACAAAAGTTTCTATGTAAGATAATCATCTTACTTTTTTAGCTTTTTTAAATATTTCTTATCAACCATTCTTAATAAAGATAATAACTAAATAGACAAACTATTAATTTTCAAGGTACAATAATTAACAATGATATTGATATTTGGACAGTAAGTATATATACTTTTCTAAGTAGTAGTGAGTAAATAATAAGAAATAATTATTTAGAATATTTTATTTTAAAATGTATAACTAATCTCACATATGTAATATTCAATTATATTCAATTTAATAAAATAGCAATAGATGATTCATAGTGTAACTTTAATCTTAAACATCTATAGAAGATATATTATGATTTTTTAAAGGGAAAAAAATTAGAAGAAAGATTAAAAATATGTTGGGTCTTATTGAATCTGATTGGATCATATTAAAAACTCCATGATCACTAAAATAACAACAAATCATGTATATATATTAGTTATTTTGGTATTAAACGCTATTAAAAGTTGTATTATATGATTTTCACTAAAAATAGAGAAAAAAAAGAGTCGAAAATATGTCGAACACAATAATTTCAAAAATTGCTTGAATCTTAAAAAGTGAATTGAATCGTGAATCGATTGTAAATCGTGCGATTCACTAGATATTCACTTCCAAAATAGATTCACCTATAGATTCAAATCGATTTTGCAAAAATTGCGAATCGAATCGTGAATCAAATCGCGAATCAAATCGCGAATTGTAAGTTCTGATAACAGAGGTGTCGGATTTAAATGTAGGTTTAGGATTTTAAATGCACAATTTGTAGTTTTTTAGCTTTAAATTTGAATCACGTAACAAGCTTCAAGTTAGAATTTTTTGTATACTTTAGTAAGTACTTGATTTAGGTTAATTTTTTTGCTTGATATGACTTTACCCTCAAGTGTTTTCGTCAATATATAAAAAAAAAAAATGTCAATAGGGAATAGAATCATCAAAACTTGAATGAGGAATAAAATTATGTAATTTTTTGTTTTTGATATGTGTAGGTGGAAGCTAATGATGCAGTTACAGTGGCTGGCATGACCAGGCCGAAGCAGTTACCTAATGAACTAGTGTCCCATTGGCATTGTTGTGCTTTCAGCGAAGACTGATGAAGACTGAAGACTGAAGGGCTTCACCTTTCCCGGCAATTTCTACATCTGGCTTTTTTTTTTCTTCTAGGGCTTGGTTCAAAATTTCTCATACATTGTCTTCCACCAGCTTCCCTACCCATGAGTTCAAAAGACTAGCCTAAACGAAGACCAGATTGTGCCGCCAAATCTAACTCAATTGCTTGGGCAGTCGATATCTTTCTTTGTGACGACAACATGTGGGCACACTCGGGTGATACAAGATCATGGTTGTGTTTTTCTTTGAAATAAGTCACAACAAATTTCCCAATACCCTCATCTAATTTCATATAAAGTCGAGCCTCACAACCAGTCATAGTTTTAGCTCTAAGGTTTTTTGCCAATGGATCTCGCTTGTCAACCTTCCGAAATCCCTCCTTGTTGCAAACCAAAAGTCTACAAATAAGTTGGTTATTGATCTTATGCAGACCAGGGCAGAGCAGAACCAGACCAGAGTAGAAGATGCAGACCAGACCAGCAGATGCAGACCACAACAGACCAGAACCTCTCTTATCTGTTATTATCTGTTATCAATTAAGGTTATGAATGAACCTATCTGTTACTATTTCAAAACACAATCACAAACCAATACAGCATTGTTGAGTGCAGATTCAGAACAGAAGCAGACCAGACCATACGAAACCAGACCAGACCAGACTAGAACATAGCAGAACCTCTCTTATCTGTTATTATCTGTTATCAATTAATGTTATCAATGAACCTATCTGTTACTATTTCAAAACACAATCACAAACCAATACAGCATTGTTGAGTGCAGATTCAGAACAGAAGCAGACCAGACCATACGAAACCAGACCAGACCAGAC